ATCCTGATGCCTCATTCTTCTTCATATAATGCAGCTTTTCTGATTATTTACTCAGCATACAGATTTAATCAGTGTGGTGATAGGATACAACCCTGATTCACACCTTTCCTGATTCTAAGTCATGCAGTAGTCCCTTGTTCTGTTCACATAACTGCCCCCCACCCCCATCAAGGTTAAATTGCCTTTAAAATGTGTTATGCAATCAGTCAGTTCTAGTGCTTTCTCTGCACTCCAACCTTCATTTTTTTCATTCCTCAAATCCCCTTCCCTCCCTATCACTCACTCCCCTCCCCATGCATCCCATATCAACTCTTGTATCAGTTATTATCACTATGCATCCACTTCTGTGCATCACAAACTGGAAAATCCAACAGAAACAATAAAAACCAACATTAAAATAAGGTGGTAAGGATAAAATTATAATAATGTGAATACCAAAATCCAAATAATGAGTAAGAAAAGAATGACGCTCATTAACCCCAAAAATAGACTTCAGACTCAGGAGGCAGGGCTTGGCACCTTATCAGACTCAATTAAAAAACATTCATAAGGGCCCAGAAGCAACAAAGCCCACATGGAAGAAGCACACCAGCCTGTGTGATCACGAAGGGTTGAAGGGACCAGGTATCAAGCACCACAGAAAAAAAATCGTATCATCGTGAATGAGGCGAGTGCCTGATGGGGACACAGTGCCCATCTGTAGACAATGTACATCCCTTGCAGAGGGATATCGGAGAGACAACTTTCCTCTAGTTCTTAAATTATTTCTCCCCCCCCTCCAACCCCGCCCCACTATTATGATCCCAATTCTATCTCACAAACCTGGTTAGACCAGAGGAGGCACAGCGGTGCAGATAAGAACTGGAAACACAGGAAATCCAGGAAAGATGAATCTCTCAGGACCAGTGGTGAGAGTGGTGATACCGGATGGTGGAGGGAAGGTGGGGTAGAAAGGATCTACATATACCCTCCTCCCTGGGGGATGGACAACAGAAAAGTGGGTTAAGGGAGACGTGGGGCAGTGTAAGATATGATAAAATAATAATTTATAAATTATCAAGGGTCCATGAGAGAGAGGAGAGCGGGGAGGGGGGCGGAGAAATATGAGGAGCTGATTCCAGGAGCCCAAGCAGAAAGCTAGTGTTTTGAGAATGATGAGGGCAACGAATGTACAAGTGTGCTTTACACAATTGATGTATGTGTGGATTATGATAAGAGTTGTATGAGCCTCAATAAAATGATTTTTTTAAAGAAAGAAGGTTAAAAAAATTCATAAGGCCATAATAAAATGATTATTTAATTTTTTTAAAAATTCATTAGGGTCAGCAAACAGACCTGGAACTATTTATAGGCTTTTTATTTTCATGTCAATCTTATATAAGAGAGTCTGGATAAACAACCCCAAGGAGAAAACAACGGGGCCTACAGTTTGAGGGGACATGGGAAAGAGAGGTGAGGGAAAGGAAGTGGGAAGAAAATAAACCCAGGGACTAGGGAACAACAAGTGATATGAAATCAATGGTGAGGAGGGCATGGGGTTTGATCAAGCGCAGTGAAGCCAAGAGGAATTACTGAGAGCCAAATGAAGGTCGCACATGATAGTGGGACAGAAGGAAAGTAAGAGGAAATTGATGAGAGAACTAGGAGGCAAAAGACATTCATAGAGGTATAAATATAGGCATGTACATATGCAAATATATTAATTTACAATGATAGGGATATAGGTCTATGTACATATATTTATAGGTTAAGGATTAAGGTAGCTGACAGACATTGGGCCTCTACTCAAATCTTCCCTCAACACAAGAACACTGTTCTAACAGCCTGGCACTGTGTGATACTCACCTTCCCAACATGATCGGGGAAGACAAAATGGATGCATAAGCAAGCATGGTGAAGATGAGGCCCAGCTATTAAAAAGACATAGCTTCTGGGGTCTCAGTTGAAGTTAAACAAGCAGCCATCTAGAAGGGAAACAACAAAGCCCACATGAAAGAAACACCAGCCTGTGTGATCACAAGGTGCTGACTGGATCAGGTATCAGGCAGCAGAAGATTCAAAACAAACAATCATATCAATATGAAAAAGAATGGCGACCCACCAGTCAAGTGCTCCCTCAATGCAACAATAGTTTGTTCTATTAAACTGGCATTTCACCTTCCCGACACGATTGCTGAAGACAAAGTGGGTGCTTAAGCAAATGTGGTGAAGAAAGCTGATGGTGCCTGACTATCAAAAGATATAGCATCTGAAGTCTTAAAAGCTTGAAGGTAAACAAGTGGCCATCTAGCTCAGATGCAACAAAGCCCACATGGAAGAAGCACACCAGATTGTGTGATCGCCAGGTGTCAAAGGGATCAGGGATCAGGCATCAAAGAACAAAAAAATCAGATCATTGAGAATGAGGGGAGTGCAGATTGGGGACCCAAGACCCATCTGTAGGTAACTGTAGGCAACTGAATGTCGCAGGGAGGAAACGAGCCAGTCAGGGTGCAGTATAGCAATGATGAAACATACAACTTTCCTCTAGTTCCCAAATGCTTCCTCCACCCACCCTCCCCCATTATCATGATCTCAATTCAACCTTACAAAGATGGCTAGACCAGAGGATGTACACTGGTACAGATAGGAACTGGAAACACAGGAAATCCAGGACAGATGATCCCTTCAGGACTAGTGCTGAGAGTGGTGATGCCAGGAGGTTGGAGGGAAGGTGGGGTGGAAACGGGAAAACAATTACAAGAATCTACATATAACCTCCTCCATTGGGGGTGAACAACAGAAAAGTGGGTGAAGGGAGTGGGTACAAAATAATAATAATGTATACATTATCAAGGGTTCATAAGGGAGAAGGGAGGGAAGGGAAAAATGAGGAGCTGATACCAAGGGCTCAAGCAGAAAGCAAATGTTTTGAGAATGATGATGGCAACAAATGTACTTGACACAATGGATGTATGTATTGATTGTGATAAAAGTTGTACAAACCCCCAATAAAATGATTTTTTAAAGAAGTCTTCCTAATAATTTATAATGTATCAAAGGTTCACAAAGGTGGGACAGGGGTGGGGAAATAGGAGCTGATACCAAGGGCTCAAGTTGAAAGAAAATGTTTTTTAAATGATGATGGCAACATGTGTACAAATGTGCTTAATATAATTGATGTATGGATGGTTATAAGAAGTATAAGAGCCCCATAAAAATTATTTATTTTTTAAAAGAAGAAGAAAGAAAGAAAAGAGAAGACCCTCATCAACATTCCAAAAGCCAGGGAGGAAATTTCTGTCACAGAACAAGTAAGAGACACTTGCACCCAGAACTAACTCAGGTTGGGTCTGTAGGGAGGTCATCTGGCCAAACATTGAGTTTGATTCAGCATGTTCAAGATTACAATGGTCTCTGCCTGATAGTCAGACTGTTGCCTGTGGCTAGAGCGAGTCTGCCAGTGGCTCAGCATGACTAGATACTCTGCAGATGGATTTGGGGCTCCCACTGTCCTCCATAGCCTTCTACAAACTGGGTGTTCATAATTTAGTTCTGATCCTTTGCCTTCCATGTGGACTTAGGTGACTCCTCACTTAGATGACTTCTTGTTTGAATACAAGCCTTTAAGACAATAGTCTGATTGACAGCCAGGCACCATATACTTTCTTCACCATACTTTGCTGTAGCATCCTCATCTTTCATGAAGTGATCCTTTCATGAAGGTGAGTATTGAGCAGGGGCATGTTATCAGAACTAAGTGTTCTTGACTTGGGGCTAGAGTTTAGTGGGAGCCCAGATTCCATCTGCTTGTCCATGGAGTTTGCACATCTCAGGTTTTTGGGGTTTTTTAAAGTTCACTTTAAAAATGTAAATATTCTCCCAGTATTCAACAGTTAAAGAAAATAGCATATTGGTTTATTTTATGTGGTTGTTATATTTTATTTTCCAAGTAATACTGATTAAAAATATTTACACACCTACTTTTAAGTCCACAGTTTAGCACTCTTATTTGTATGGCTTTAAAAGTTATAGCACAAGATCTTTATATTAAGGATTTCGGGGGAGGGAGTTGATTTCCATTCAAAACAAAGCCTGATATATTATATACATGTTTTTCTCTGCATTTTATTTTAAATACATTAATTTCTTAAACGATGCTCTTTTTTTTCATCTGGTGGTAAAATACTAGTGCAAACTTTTCATCAAAATAAAGTTTACCACAGATGTAAATAAATTTCCCAATTGTAATGGCACTTCAGCTGCCATTGAATTAAATTTCTCAACTTAACTTCAATGAAAAAGAATTGGTGGTTCACATTTATAAGCAAAAATATAAAATCCTGTAGCATCATCTACATCACTCCTTACCACACAAATGTTGAAAGAACCAGAGATCCTTTAGATAAACTAAGTTGGTATTGAAAAGGCACATGGGTATGTTTTCTTGTTGTTGTTTTTACATTCTAGAAATGTTGCCACCCCCACTCAGTTCCTGGTGCAGAGAGGGCATCTGTGACTCTCGGGGTAGACAAGAACATTACTCAAATTCAAGGCACCCAGAAGCCAATATGGAATTGCACAGTCACAATGCACTTTTCTTCATGCAGCCTTGGATTTCCTAAATATTCCGCTTTCTAACATGCATTAGAATACATAAACCTGTATTCTAGTGATTTACATTTGATTTTACAATAGGAAAAAAATTTTAAGGAAGAACATGACCTAGGAAGAAACGGGAAAACCCTTACCACAATGAAAATAGACACATTCGTACCCAACAATATAATAAGACTATAACTCATCTAAGTTTCCAGAAATATACATCTCAAAGTTTCCTGTTCACTTATGGGAAAGTTCTCTCCTCTGTGGTATTAGTGGGGGGAAACCAGTGTGGTTCAATAGAAACAGCACAAGAAATGGTTCACTTTGGTCCACTTGTCTGTCAAGAAAGACAGTCACACTGCCCATCATCAGTTGAAAAATGCAACACGTAAATTAAAATATATTCATTTGTTATGTCATTCTAAAACTGGCATAACTGTTCTGTCCTCGTCCCCTGCCTTTTCTGCCTCAGAATCCTCTGTTGGTTTGGTTTTTAATCCCTCAGCATCTTCGTGATCGTCCCTGGCATCCTCAGCAGTATCTGCTTGGCTAGGATTTCTCTCCTCCTCGCTCATGATTTCAGGGATCACTTGATCCAAGCCTGCTTCTAGAAGCTCAGTTTGTACTTCCATTGGCATCTGATTCACTCGTTCAACATGCAGCTCCTTGACATGCACTTCTGTACTTTCTTCAGTTTGAATTCGACCCACTTCTAGATCACTCACCTGGACCTGCTCTGGAAGCTCACTGATATGTGAATCGTGCATTTGACTGTCCTGGAGCAGGTCTGGATGGACCTGTTCCACAGTTACTTGTGCTGAATCCACTTGGACCTGAAGCAATGGTAGCACATGTACCTTCCCAACTTGTTCTATAATTATCATTGATGTTACAGGTTCAGCTTGCAAGTGTGTTTCTACTGGAAGAATTTCTTCAGTTATTGGATGTTCAGAAATGTTATGGGCATCATTGAGATGTCTCCTTAATTCATTTCCTTGCATAAACCACAAATCACATAGAGTACAATGGTTGGGTTTATCTCCAGTGTGAATTACTAAGTGATCTTTAAACTGGTTCCAGCTGTTAAACACATTGTTACAAACCTGACATTCATAAAGCTTCTTTCTTCCCTTTTTTGCCCCTACTCCAGTTTGGCATGCTGTCAGGTGACATTTCAGTGTGCTATTTCTAGCAAATCGCTCATGACAATTTGAACATTCAAAGGGTTTCTCACCTGTATGTTTTTGAAAATGCTCTTTAAAGTGTCCAAAGTGGTCAAACTGTTTCTCACAATACTGACAAATAGGAATTTTTCCCCAGTTCTTTGCTTCTTACTGGCACTACCTTCTTCCAGGTGGTAGCAATTGAGGTGCTGTTTCCATGCGCTCTCCCACAGATACCTTTCATTGCATATTGCACACTTGAAACTCTCCGTGGAGTGTGATTTCATGTGCTCCTGTTTGATTGTGGGGTCAGATGCACATCCACCTTCTTTAAGATGCCCTTTTCTATCACCCTGATGATACTTGCTGGTAATATCTGCCAAAAGAGCTAAAGCGGAATCATCGGAGGACCCTGTGCTTTGAGTGTACTTTACAGATTCCTTGGCCGAAGCCACTTCCTCCAATGTTTCAACGCCTTCACCTTCCACTTCAATTGTGTCTTCGGCAATCTCCACCTCAATTTCAACAGGTTCTGATTCTGCAGAGGGCAGGGATTCACTGATAACATTGGATGTTTCTGCGATCTTTCTCTTTTTTTGCCTCACTTTTTCCTGGGCTGTTTTCCTCAAGCGGAGCTGCATTTTCTTTGTTCCCGACTTCCAGGGCTTGGGTGGCTTCTTGCATTTGTAGAAGCTCTGCTGCTTCCCAGACCTCACTGGCTTCTTCTCCTCCTTGGATCATTAGCTTTGCTGTCTATGTGAACTCAATTAAATGACGAAAGGCCATTTTACTGACATCTTCTATGTCCACCAAAGGTTCCTGAGTAAATTTCTGAAAGAATTTGTAGAAGAACTTACTGCAAGCAGCCTTGTGGGCCTTAAAATGATGCCCGTCGACAATCAGGGTGATGTCTGTAAACCGGTCCTGCTCCCGCTGTTCATTCAATCGGTCCAGGATCATTTTGTGATGTTCAGGGAATTCCTGAAGGCATTCCATCGTCTCTTCAGCCTCCATGGCTGTCGCACTGATCTAATTGGAGGCGCGAGCTGGAGCTAGGTGGGCGCAGCACCGGAGGCTCGGGGTGCCAGGGCACGCAATTCAGCCCGGGAAGGGACCTGACAGCCGCGACGGCCAGCTAACGACCCACCAAGCCCTCCTGCCTGGTCCGGGCTCCCACTGCCCCGGGACCTGGTCTGACCCGTGGCCCACAACGACTCCTGGGTCGCCTCTTCCTCCCCATCCTTCCCTCTTCCCCCCCCCCCATTCTGCAAAGAAATACAGCATTGTCAATCACCCCCCTGGGGTATATGTCTATTGCTCTGTTGTGACCATTGATTTTCCCCATGACCCAGCACTCGAACACTGTCTGTAGGAGTCTATGTGAGTGCAGTTTCACCTTGAGCAGCAACCCACACCGTTCCATCTCCCATTCGACTGGGCTCCGTTGACCCTAAGTATGGGGACTGATGCTAGTGGGGGCCTTCTTGGAACAAGTGTCCCAAGTGTAGGTCCCTGTTCAACAGATCCCAACCTGTCAAGTCACTGCAGGGTGGACACTGAGGTACTACATTTATGGTGATCCTTTCACTGGACACCCACCAAGCTGAGGGTCACCCCCCCCCATGGTCCAACGATGACACTTCCACAATCCTGAGGTGGCCACTCTCTGCTTCCTCTACCATCCAAGTACCCCGGCCCTGAGTCCAAGGCTGTAGGCAGCTTTGAGGTAGGGTTCAGTTCATTCGGCAGGGCTTCTATGTTAAATCCTTCTGGTGTAGCTCCTGCATCGCGCCATGCTGCCTGCTAGGTCAGCTTCTGTGATCAGCCTGGTGCTTAGTCCATGGTGTGGCTCACCAAAGGTTGGGCAGAAATGAGGTCATAGTGTCTACCCACGCACCTAAAATCCAGCCCACTGTTCCCCTAGGTTCCCTACACTTACTGTTTAGCTTCCCTTCCCGGTGTGTAGTTACTTCTCCTCAATCACCCACATACTCACCAACAGAACTACTGGCACCTACTCCACAGTGTAGGTGGCCCTCTCTCTCTCATGGTCTTGGCTTGGATTTCAGGAAAGCTTCTTCCATTCCTGTGGGGGACCCACTGGTTTGTCTCCTTCATGTCGGCTCTTGTGAAGTGCACAAAAGAGGTGATGTCTGGTTCATGGCTGGTAGGTAGCCTTCTCTTCTTTTGTTCAGGAGTTGGCTCCTAAGATTTGTCAGATTGGTGTTTCTTCTTATACTGGTGCACTCATGCAACACTTGTTCCTTTGTGATCAGCTGACTTCACTCAGCATAATGGCTTCCAGGTCCTTTCTGTCACGCAGTGTTTCATGCTTTCATTGCTTTATTTAGGGATGTGTAGTATTCCACTGCATACCACTGCATGCACAGTATGCATTGCATTCCATAGTATTCCGTGTACCCTATTGCTTTATCTATTCTCCTATCGTTGGGCATCTGGGTTGCTTCCAGTTTCTCGCTATTTGAACTGTGCTGCTGTGAACCTGGAAGAGCACACTTCGACTAGAGTCGTGTCTCTAATTTCTTTGGGGTATATGCTTAATGGTGGTATTGCTGGGTCATATGCGACTTCAGTTTCCAGTTGCTTTAAGTATTGCCGTATCCTTTTCCACAGTGGCTGAATGTATTTACAAGTTACCAGCAGTGTATCCAAGTTCCAATCACTCCACACCCTCTCCAGAATTTGTTGTTTTCTATTTTGTTTTTTAATGTGAGCTAGTTGTTTTCTGTTTTGTTTTTCAATTTGTTTTTAAATGTAAAGTGGTATCTCAATATGGTTTTAATTTGCATCTCCCTGATAGCTAGTAATCATTAGCATTCCCTCCCTCCCCCATATGTTTGTTTGCCATTTGTACTTAATTTGGTGAACTGTCTGTATGTCTTTTCCCATTTCTTAATTGGGTCTCTTGTTATTTTCTTATTGAGCTGTTGTAGAGTTGTGTATTTTTGTAATTAGTCATTTGTCCGATGTGTCATTGGTTAAAAAAATGTTTCCTGATGTGTTGGTTCTCTTTTCACTCTCTTGATGAGGTCTTTTTATGTGCATAAGTGAGATACTTTCAGTATGTCCTAATCATCTGTCTTGTCCTCTGCTGAATGTGCCTCCTCTCTGATACTTGGTAGTATACATCGTACTATGTGTGCCCTGTAATAGGGCCCTTAAGTTTTTCCCAGTATTCCCATTGATGATCCTGAGAGCTTTGGGGGGAGCTTTACATTTAGGTCTTTAATCCATTTTGAGTTCATTTTTGTGCATGAGGAGAAGTATGAGTCTTGCTTCATTCTTCTGCATATGGAAATCCAGTTTGTCCAACCATTTGTTGGACAGGCTGTGTTTCTCCCATTGGATATTTCTAGGTCCTTGGTCAAAGATTGCACATCTGTAGGCTGATGCACTTAGGTTTGGGTATTCTGTTCTGATCCATTGGTCCAGGTATCTCTCGTTATACCAGTAGCAGGCTGCTTGGACTACAGTGGCTATGTAGTAGCAGGCTATGTAGTAGCAGGCTATGTAGTAGCAGGCTAGGTAGTAGCAGGCTTTGTAGTAGTAGGCTATATAGTAGTAGGCTTTTAGGTCAGGCAGTGGTAGGCCTCCTACTTGGCTCTTCTTTTTAAGAAGCTCTTTGCTTATCTTTGGTCTTTTGCCTGCCCATATGAAATTGGTAAATCGTTTTTCCATTTCTTTACAAAAATTATCTGGAATTTTAATTGGAATTGCATTGTATCTATGGATTGTTTTACGTAGTATTGTCATTTTCATGATATTGTCTGCCTATCCATGAGCGTGGGACATTCTTCCATTTATATAGATCCTTTTTAGTTTCTAGTAGTAATGTGTAGTTTTCTTTGTATAGTTCATTTGTTTTTGAGGTAGTTAGTTTATTGTGCCAACCTGGCCGATAAACCCATGTGGGATTAATTGAAGGTCAGAGAAATAAATGGCTCTGTGAGCCTCGCCTTTCTTGTCTCTTGCTCTTTGATCATCAGACCAGTATGCAGCTCCCTTGCTTGCTCTTAGCCTCAATTTGCAAGCTACACTACCTGTGGGACACCTAACTCGTGGATTGTGTCACTGTAATTTGAGGTTCCTTCAAGACCTGTATTGCCACACCATTGGAATTTACATCTCTTGACTGTCGGACCCTGTCATCTGACTGACTGTTGGTGACCTGCCTTGCTGTTTGCTGCCTGTGCCCAGATAGCCTGAATTGCTCTACAGAGGACTACCCAGCGGCCCTCAAGACTTGAAGGACTGCCAGTGTCACACAACTGTCTCACGGGAGTGAGTTGCACTGAGCCATTTGTACTGCTTTATAATTTAATTAACTGTTTATTTATTATGTTATACATCTATCTATCTGTATAAATACATATAAAATTATTAGCAGTCTGGTTTTGTTTCTCTAGAGAACCCTGTGCTAACACAGTTTCTTTAGTTTATTCCTAACGAGTTCCTCTTTTGTGTGGTTATTGCAAATGGTATTGCTTTCTTAACGTCTTTTTCGTAGTTCTCTTTGCTGGCTTACAGCAATTGATTGATTTCTGGTTATTAGCTCTGTATCTTGCGACCTTGCAGGATTCCTCAGGCATTTCCAGAGGGCTTTTCATGGAGACTTTGGGTTTTCTGTATACAGGGTCACATCCTCTGCAAATAGGCGAGTTTCACTTCTTGCCTATTTTGGTTCCCTTGATTGCTTTTCATTGTCTGCTGACTCTAGATAAAACTTCCAGCACAATGTTGCTTAAGATTGATGACAGAGACATCTTTACCCAGTCCCTGCTTTCAGTGGGAATGTGTCTACCTTTTCCCCATTGTTGGTTCCTCACATATGGTTTTTATTATGTTGATGAATGTACCTTCTATTGTCCTGAGCGTTTTGAAGAGAAATGGGTGCTGAATGTTGTCAAGTGTTTTTTCTAAATCTATTGATATGATTATGTGGTTTTTATTTCTTGCCTTGTTTATGTGGTGGATTACGCTGATTATTTTTCAAATGTTGAACCATCCCTGCATACCTGGAATGAATCCTACTTGGTCGTGGTGATTTTATGTTTATGCTGCTGTATTCTATTGGCCAGGGTTTTGGTTGAAGATTTTAGCGTCTATGTTAATGAGATATATTGGTCTATAATTTTCCATCTTTGTGGACTCTTTGCCTGGTTTGAGGATCAGTGTTATACTGGCTTCATAGAATGAGTTTGGAAGTTCGTTGTCTTTCTTTATGCTATGGAAGAGTTTGTTTAGTATTGGTGTCAGATCTTCTTTGAAATTTTGGTAGAAATCCCCTGTGAAACTGTCTGGTCCAGGGCTCTTTTTGGTTGGTAGTTTCTTCTTTGGATTTGGGTCTATTGAGTTTTTCAATATTTGTCTGCATTAATTTGAGTGGGTGATGTGGTTCTAGTTATCTGTCCATTTCTCTTAGATTGTCGAATTTATTTGAATACAGTTTTTCATAGTAGTGTGTTATTACTCTTTTTATTTCTACTGATTCACAGTTTTCATCTCTTATTCTGGGTATTTGCATCTTTTCTTCTTTCGTTTTTTACCTTTGTTAAGTTGGACATTGGTCTGTTTGTTTTGTTATTTCAAAGAACCAGCTTCTTGTCTTATTGATTTTTTCCATTGTTTGTTTTCCATACCATTTATTTCTGCTTTGATACTTATGATCTCTTTCCTTCCTTTATTGGAGGGATTGTGTTGTTGCTCTTGTTCCAGTCCTTGGAGGTGTTGTGTTAAGGCTTTTATTTTAGCTTTCTCCTCTTTTTGTATGTGTGTTGACCTCTGATTACTGCTTTTGCCGTGTCCTAAAGGTTTTGATATGTTATCATTCTCACTTTTTCAAGAAATTTTTTTAATTTCCTCCTTTTTTTAATCATTTTATTACGGGCTCATACAACTCTTATCACAATCCATACAATCCATACACACATCACTTGTGTAAAGCGCATTTGTACATTCATTGTCCTCATCATTCTCAAAATATTCCTCTCCAC